CATTAAAGGTAAGTAAAATTTGAATTGTATTTGCGTCTATGACATGAGCTGTTCGTGACTCATTTCAGAAAACACATTGATATTGAACGATAGCACTGAAAATGACTGTCCGTATCCACAAGTTATTCCTGAAACCCCGATTTGTTTTTGTATCTTTTAATCGTATACAGAACCGAATGTGGCTCCACGCATCTTTCACGTCAATTTAAACAGAAATTTCCTCGAATGCGTTTCAATCTTACTTACTTTTATATAAATGTCGTACAGTGCATATTAGATTTTAACAAAGCCTCGGGCTAGAGTCTTTGAACATATTCAAATAAGCAATTGAGTACAACTTCAACATCAGTTTTGCAGTTCGCATGGTAAGCTGTTTTAAAACTGGCTTTAGGTAAAATGATGGTTTCTCGCTCCCAATCTTCCTCTCTCTCTCTGTCTTTCTTTCCTTAAAAACAATGATGCGAGGAAAATGTTCATATAAATCATTTGAGACCTTTAATTGGATCTTCCTCGTAGTTTTGCTAATCAATACCTATCAGCGCTCACGAAAGTCTGTTTTAAAGTAGACCATCCATATTCGAATTGGTCCTTGCTTTAACTTGTGGGCTGCTATAGGCGTTTTTCTCAGTCTTTCCGGTTAAAATGTACAAGGAGAAAGTGGACATAATTTTCAAGCGTTCTCTTACTGGAACATGAAAAGTGACCTTCATTAATACATTTTGGATCTTGATATCCACTGAGGTCGGCTTTCATTCTTGTTCCACACCAAAATTACTTTTAAGTTCTAAATATTTCAAAATATTTCATCTGCTTAAAGAAGATCGATGTAGTTCTTTTTAATTCCTCCAAATTGCATGTGTATTAAAAAATGACTAACGAGCTTTTACTTGCTTTTCAACATAGTCTACCATATAAACAAGTACCCACTTCATGAGAGAAAAGTCATCAGTTGTGCAAATAGGAAATTTTTTCCTCCGACAAAATTCAACAGCAGATTCAACCAACTGAATCTTATTGTTCTTTTACGCTTTGGTGAAACTTATCGCGGGCCCTGTTAGGGCTTTTTTTACAAGAGAGGGATATGGGAGGACATTTTTCAGGATTACGAGCGTTAGTGATTAAATTCAACCCAGCAATCTCTTGATTCATCCCCGTATTTGTAAGAATCTGATGTACCGAGCAGCATTTTCCGATTGAAAATGAACGATTGAACTGTTTTGAAGTCACGTTCGAATTTTAAATCCAATCATCAGCTTGACGTAAAAATTTTAAAACCAGCAAGTTACGTACCAGGTTGATGTATTTGTTTGTTGAAAACCAAGCTTTTATTGGTCTCTCACGGTTATGACTGACATTTCGAGATGACACAAATTCCACATTTAGCCTCCCAGCTGTGTCTGTCACTTTGTTAAGAAATAAAAACAAAGTGCTCTATAGTTTCATTCGTATTAATCCTCCACTGGCTTTTTTGTCAAATTTCGATCCGTGAATGTTTTGCTCTATTGGTAGTTCAAGGTTTGCGCGTTTGTTTGAGTATTTTATCAGAGAAATTTTTGTTTAAAATTGTAGCAACGTTATCACTGTGCAGGAAATATTTCTTTTTAGTTCAAGTCATTTGCCGCGATTTATTTTTACGTTCGATTTGTTAGTAGATTCTTGTCCTGTTGAGGAAATACCTGTCTTATTGACCAGAGCTTAGTGCTTGCCAAGTCAATTTCTAATCGGTTTTTCACCACTGACCTGACCTTTTGGTACAGGATCGTACGAAGCCTAATTAAGGATACAAGTTGTATCACACATTGGTATTTTTCCCATTCGGCGCTGCCAAGTGTGATATTGATAAAATACAATGAGAAAGAAAAATCACTTGAAACTGCTTGATTAAAAAAAACAATTTTTCCTGCTAAAAATCATTTCTTTCCTTATACATCTGATGCCAATAAGGGTTTTATTCTTACCTGGAAGGTTTTTCTTATTCTTTAAGACATCAAATAGATAGATTTTGGATATAGGGACTAAAAGATGTATTTCTCGAGGGACAAGTAATGAAAGGCTACATATCCAAGTGATAATAATCCAATTCATGTATCCATTATATTTCAGATGAAATCCGAAACAATTCTTTTGGTGATGGCGTTTTTACTGGCGGCTACTACCTCATCATCAGCGGATGATTGTTTAGACTGCACCACTACTTTCACCATGTGTTTTGATGCGTGCCAAGATCCGACCATTTGCACTCAGTGCATCGATGCGAAAGACAACTGTCAGAGTACATATTGCGGTAAAAAAAGGAGCTTTCGACCAAGACTTCGTTCCTTCAATGACTTTATGAAACAAAAGCGAGTTTAAGAGATACCAAAATGAAGAAGAGTACCTTCAAAAGAATCGCCCATATAGTACTGAAATCATTGTATTAGAATACTTGGTGTAGTAAGAGTATCTACTATTGTAACCCTACTCCATTCATTTAGAAAGTTGTAAAAAAACTATCCGCTCTCTCACAACTGTTGTAGCACTCTTCTTTCTGATGCCTTTTCTGGTAAGTCAAATGACGGAAGAAAAATCTCTCTAGGAGGGAGGTTTGTCGTTCAGGGCTTGTCTCACCTTTAGCGCCTGTAAAACCCCTTTTTTGTTGTTTTATTTTTCGGTTTGCTTTGTATGGGGGTGGGGGTTCCTTTTCAGTTTTTTTCCCCTTTTTTTCAATACAGTCTCAAAACAGTGCACCCGAGTCGGATACACTGTTTTTAGAGTAGACCTTTAACTGAGTAGACCTTTTTAGAGTAGACCTTTAAAATTTGAACGTAAGCGATACGGATTTTTCAGTGTTGTAGCAGCCATAATCCGATAAAAAATTCCCACAAACGACATTGGATTGAGAATGGTGAGGGCTTTGCTGTTCATTCATCAAGCAGACCGTGAGGCGCGAAAGGCGAGTGATGTGTCAACAGCTAAATACGATATTCCTTCACGTGTGTTGTCACGGCTTTTCGCAACTCCTCAATAATTTAACTCCATTTGTACCAATGGGCAATGTAATCAAATTAAACAATTCCTTGAAAACCACTTTCCACATTGTCGGTATTCTACTTAGGGCAAGAATGAGAAAATTCTAAGAACCTCACCGTACCCAGTAGGATAATTTGGGGTAGCGGCCTTGGTAACGCGAAGTATTGCAATAGCAACTACACCTTTTCACAACCACAACGAGGTTTATTTTCTCACTTATAAATCAGTTATAATGCTTGTGATTTCATCGAATGATCTTTTATTATTATTATTATTATTATTATTATTATTATTATTATTAACATTGTAAATTATCTATAATTGCAAATGCTGTAATTAAACAGAGAAGAGCCAACCCGTGGATCTGTTAAATAAACCATTGTTATCATCATTATTATTATTGTTATTATTATATTTGATGAAATCGCAAGATATGCTCAGTGCAGTTTCATATTATAAGAGAAAGTCGCAGACCTGGTATGATTCAGAGACATATAACGTCAAATTATGAGTGTTTCAAAGAGGCTATACCGTTCTGAAGGTGAACTTTTATTCCAGAGGAAATGGCAAAAGTTTGTTATAGCTAACTGGCATTTGTTTCAAATCAATTTTAAGGAATTCAAAACAAACCTGGTGGGGGCTATTAGGTAAATATATCTCATAAGACGTTTTTGTGTGTAGTAGTATCCCAGAGTATCTTTACGAGTTCTGCTGTATTTTGACGAGCCCGCAGGGCGAGTCCAAATACAAACAACGAGCAAACATGCTCAGAGATAGTACACACCAAAACGTCTAATAAGTTATTTATTATCCAACTGCTTCAGTTTTTATGCACTTCTTCAAAAGCGGGAAAAGTGAAGCAAACGGCGCAGTGGTTTGTGACAGGTCTTACGCAATGCTCGCGTCGAATTGGCTCATGAGACGTCAACTTGTCACTTAAGGTTTCAAAACGATTCAAGATTGACTTTTATTTTCGATCGTTATTTCAAATGCTACACATTTGAAACTACTACAAGTACCGAAGTGTTTTTCTATCAATGAATAGTGATGAATAATTTATCGCCAGTAAGAAAGCTTTAAAACTACAGGGAGACAAACTCTCAAAGACATGGATGAGCTCTAAGTACATAAAAAAGAATTTCCAAAACTATATTTCATTTCTATCATCCGACTCAATCACATGGCGACGACGCTTCGCAAGAATTGCTGGAGGAGCTGAAGGCTGTGAACTAAGAACAATGAAACAGTTGTTAAATACGGCACAGAGAAGGCAAGTGTAAGCAACTGTCCAAATAACCGTACATTATCGCAGGATATTTGTACTCTATTCGTGCGTTATTTATACTCTACTTTGTGCAGTTGGACAATGACTAGATTTTATTAATACTATGAAACCTAGTGCAATAGCGGGACTGTTAACGTTGAAAATTAAGAAAAAAACAACTTCCTACTTCTCACACGCTAAAAAAAAGGAAAAAACAGACAAGTTTCCACAATTGTGTTGATGTTATTGTTGTCTGAGGGATTTCATCTCAGAGCATCCAACTGCAAGACCACTGCCTTCATCGCTACTGCTTAACGTTTAAGCCATCGACTATCATTTAATGGATGAATAGAAGAAATTAGCTTGTTTGAAAATGCAACAATAACAAACTCATCACCTATCGGCTCCAGTATGGATACAGCGGGAGCCAGGTTTTTATATTTCGAGTCAATCCAGATGTATACAAACATCCTCGCAAGGACGAGGTGAGAAAGAGGAAAGACTGCCACCAACTTTGTGTGAACAGACATCCTACTATGAACAGGCTAAAATAGCGCGCAAATCAAATCCAAAAGCTCGCACAAATCTGACGACTTTCCGCGCGATAGTTGAACCGTTATACTAACGCATTTACAATTGCGCGCTGAACTTGAACTTCAATAAAAAGGCATGTTTAAGAAACTGCAATTTGTGTTGCTGTTAGCCTTATAGCTTTTAACGGCAAAACATGGCAAAGCGACGTAGAGAAGAGATGGGAAAACTACAGCAGGAACAAAGGCTTCGGAAATCGGAAAGTTGTGTCTCAGGTAATAACGTCAAACATCAACACTCAGATGAGCCTTACGCATATGACACAGATATGCGTGAAGATAGCAGCAGGTATGTTCAAATAACTGTATAGAGGGAGAAAATATCTCCTTTTTGGGTTATTTTCAGAATTTGAACGCCCGTGTGTAACACAAGTCACTTAGATGTCTTCGTGCGAGTTGGTCACAAGGAACAAAGCGAGGAGCAACAGGGTGGAGACATTTCGCTCCCTCCCACCTCCTCACACACAGCGTTTGCGATTTTATTTGGGCACAACTGTATGTCAACAGTCCTTTTTTATTAAAATGAACATGCGTTTTATTGTAGAGGCTCTCGTTCTTAAGTTAACCCACCAGCAGACCACAAAAGTTCACTATCAGCACTTCAAGTGCTAATTCCAATTTTTCTAGCTCACGTCCAGTCTCCATCTACGACTTTAAACAATTCGTCTGGTCTTGTCCTATAGGGAAAATGAAGATGACTGGCTTACGCAGACATTGTATGGATGCAATTATGAGTTACATTATGAACATGACACCTGCAAACATAGCTGGGAACACAACACACAGACTCGGAAAGCGGAAAGCAGTATACTGGAGGGAACCAAGTTAACTGAGGGAATAGTTGAAGAGGGTAAACTGAGTGATACCAAAACCCAGACAAGAGAGGAGCGAATAAAGAGTCTAAAAGCTCTCCTTTGCAAGCACGAGGAAGATATTGAGAAGTTATGGCCCGATGCAAATAACGACAAGCAGAAAAAATGTTCTGTGATTGCCAGAAATAGGAAAATGATTGCAACAAGAAGCAATGTCTTCACTGAAGCAAAGGATTACTCCATAAAAAGAAGAATTTGTAGAAGAAAAAGAAAGAGAGCTGAGCCTCGTACAAGTGGGGTAGTTAATACCAGGGATGTTGATATTATGATGAGTAAAGGAAACCTTATGACTAAGGATGAGTTCCTAGCTGTGCTAGGCCTGGTCCGAGTCACAAAACTTTATTCATTATGACTAACTTCAACCTATTCATTTATTTATATTTAATCTGACTGTAGAACTTGGCTTTACAGAAGATAGATTGTCTAGCTAGTGCATAATGGTGAGGAGTTTATCCACTTCAATAAAGGTTTTATGGCTATTTCAAATCATTTTCAGAAATAAAATTAACAACATAGATTTCTCTCCTGTTATGGTAAGGCTTTTTTTTTTATTAATAAAGTGCTTTGAGGGCCATTCTTAATCATTTTCAATCAGCTGTTAAATTGAATTCAAACCATTCGCATACCATTATAGACTTAAATACATCATGATCAATACGTAAGAAAGTCAATATCATCATGACAACTGAAAAAAAAAAAACTTCAAAACAATTAAATTTTATGTGATTCAGATGTCATTCATTGAAGGTATTTTTATTCACATAGTAAACTGTAGTATATGATATATAAAATGTCAACTCTACTGAAAAAGATACGTTTTATTTGAAATGAAATGGAAGGAAAATTTTCAAATAATTCAATATCTAAAACATTTTAGTTATGATTAATCTACACAATTTCCACATTATGTTACCCTAGAATTTTCCATGTTACCTACTGATGTGCTTGTCTGTATGTAAGGCCTGTTTTCTCCCTTGCAAACATCAATCAATGTGAAAATAATGTGAATATGTGACTTAATGGCCATGCGCGATGCTCCTGACTAATCCTGTTTCAGTGACAAATACTGGTATGGACCCCTTTGCATGACTCTGCAAGGTGGCTTTATATTGGACCCAGTTTGAATCACCACAAAGGGTAATCGAATTATGCTTTCAAATTTTGACATATCATTTACATTAAAACAGTAGTAAAAGCTCATCAGTTACCATCCAGTTGTTACTAGGATCCCTTTTCTATTTCTTTCTAGTTGGTTTAATTTTATTGGATTTTCTCAAATTGTCTGGGCACTAGGCTTTACTTGACTGCTTTAAAAATCTTAGCCAAAAGAATAGCACATACAGTATTGTCCAATTTTTCATTATCTGCCTTCTTAAAAATTAACATATACCAAATTACATAATGTAGAGGTTTAAGGATAAGTAGACTATGTGCTTGCATTAGAAAATTAATTTGTCTGTTGATTGATACAAAAACTCACAATTCATTTATCTACAGAAATGGTACCTTTAGTGTATGCAAGGGTGCCAAATCCAGTTGCTGTATAGTTCCATGCAAACTTAAATGAATTACCTGTGAATTACAGGGAAAATAATAGTTTTCGAACTACATTGTTTTCAAAACATATGGCTGTATGCCCAAATATTTTTGTCATCTAAAGATAGAACTGGCAGTTATTGGCAGATCATTAATTTGATTGACAGGTCAATTGTGAACTGAGCAATCAGAGCTATGAATCCATAGATTGTGAAGTTTTCAATAGAAACAATGGCAAACTTCAAAACAGCAAACTTAAATTACAGTTTTTACCCTTTGGTTCTTTTATGTCTTTAAAATAGCTATTTCTATTAAAAAAAAAAAAAAAAAAAAAAAACATTCAATCAATATTTTATGTCTACTCAATCATGTGAGTTTCACAGCAAGCTAACAGCTGCTCCATATGTGGCCCTGTAGAAAGACAGTACTTTGTCATGAAATTAGTGTTTTGCTGCCAACCTTATGAGATAGAGGTTCCTTTCTCTTTGTGTCTGGGTACTAACACGAATACAAAAAGACAGAAAGATCTTTCATATTGGTTTCTGTTAAATGAGGTCAAGACTCAACGAGAATTCCCTCGTGAAAAGGTCAGAAAGAGGGTTCCCATATGGCATATACTATTTTGTAAAACTCAGTCACATTAAGATATTTGGCCCTTTTGCGCATCACAGATGATATCATTTGAGCCTTTTCTTAAAAATAACAACCAGGATTCACAAACTTCACAAATTTAATTTTTTCTTTGTCTAGTCTTGACCAGTCTTATGTGATAAATGGTGACATGATGTCTCATCTTATTTGTTCAAAGACCATAGGTTAAGTCTATTTTATGACTTTTATCGATCTATATGAAGTTCATATCCTGTCAAAACGCTTTTAAATTCTTATATTTTCAAAACCATTATAAAGCCGCGAATTCGTCACGCAAAACAAAATGGTTCCCGAATCCCGTGTAATTTAGTTCTTCATTTACGAGTCACATTTGAGTAAAACAAGTTCACTTCGACGCGGAAAGATCTTACAATCTTTAATCACGATTCACGAATGAGGAAAAAAATTAAATCATGATTCACGGGGAAAAAGAATCGTCCAATCACGTTTCATCTAAAAAGCATAGGGGACGGGGCGGAAGGAGGTCCTGTCTCCGGGGTACATCGTGATACAAATTTTTATTTTATTTAATGTAATTTCGCTTGTTGAGGTATGCTGCTGCGATGGCCGAGTGGTTAAGGCGTTGGACTCGAAATCCAATGGGATCTTCCCGCGCAGGTTCGAATCCTGCTCGCAGCGGGTATACTTTTTACTTTTTACGCAAAGTCTTACGTCTTTACGTCAAAGTTTTAATACGTACGATGAGAGGGATTTTTGCTCAATTTCAGAAAAAGAAGCTGTAAATGCTGCTTTTTTTTAAGCTGTGTTCTTCGCAAAATTTTAACCTAGTGCCCACGGACCGCACAGGTATCCAAACGCGAAACCCAGTTAAGTGCTGAAAAATTATTCTGTATTAACCATGAAAAGTTGACAATACGAGATAATTGTGTAAATTATATTTGTGTAAAAACTATATGGGGGAAAAAAAAAGATGACTAATGCTTTGAGCAAAATGAATCCTGCGTTGGCCGGGAATCGAACCCGGGTCAACTGCTTGGAAGGCAGCTATGCTCACCACTATACCACCAACGCGCTTATGGTAAAGAGGTGGTGAATTTGTGTAATTATTATATAGTACAAAAGCCTGCCTCCAACATAATAGAAATTCGGAAGCAAAACGCTTTTCAACATGCTATCTTATTTCTGAAACAATCCAGTTACATTGACATATTATTGTTAGATTATGACTAGCGCGCTCATTGGGATTAGTTCATGAGTACAAGTGTATGTTCGTAGCTTGTATATAGAGCCTGCATACTTTCAACAGTATTTCGTCACAAAAGAGATTGCACAAACCACATTACAATCATACTGACATGTTGAACTGTGCTGATAATTACCTACCATCTTCAGTTGTAAGATAAATGATCCAAACAATGTTGCAATAGGATAGATAATAGATAAAAAAAGAATGGAAATTAGATAGATATGATGTGAAATACGTTAAAAAGGAAGGTGATGCCAAAAAAATATTCCAGTGGAAACTAAAACAGGAAAAAAAAACCCCGAAATGACAATATTTAATTTACATATTAAATTGAGGTTCACATGGTTGATTGAAGAACATAAAAGACCATGAAAGCAATCTCTAGGGAAGGGAACCATTTTCGAAACTCATGGGGCGTTGAAGAGTGTTTGCTCAAAGAGATAAATATTCGCGAACGTAGGCAAGTTGTGTTTTGAGGTCTTTTGATGTCACCAACATAGGGATAACAAGAACTGCGGCTTCAGCGAGTGAACTTAAGACTTTTCAAGAATATCAGCTTGTCTTTTGTGCTGCCGAAAGCTCCATTGACTGAGTTACAGTAAACGCCTTGGAGAGTATGCCACAGACACGGTTCTCATTCGGCAAACTTCTTACAGAGATGCCATTGCAAACTTTCGAGGAATGTGAATTTATACAGACTCAACAAGTTCGTACAGGCCTTGTGTCGGAATAGGCGGTAGAATTCCCTCGCATTTCTATTTTTAATTTTCAATTAATTTAATTTTTTTTGTTGTTTTTTTGCTTCATTTGTATTCCATTTGAATTTGTTTACAATTCTTGAGATGAAAATATACTAGAGCAGCTTATATGAATAAATTTACATTCAAAACAGTGAGCGGGGTATAAAAGGCAGAAGCTCACTTCTAGCAGTTTTTCTTTTATTTTATCTTTTTTTTGTTCAGTATTTCCGCTAATTGAGGCCCTAATTTGAAGCTCTTCGATAATGTTTTAAATTCTGGCTTGCGCATTGCTCCCATACCGTTATAAACTACCCAGGATATTAGGTTGCAACTCAGTTGGTATTACACTGAGCTATACCTCAATCAATATCATTTCAGGCTGAGAATACTAACTATGTTTCTCCGTTTCTCCGATGAAAAAAAATAAGATAGCAGAGATAGGATCGGTTATTAACAAACTGAATATCACGGCATACGTAATCAGTTCATGTCATCTAACCCAGGACCTTCAGTATAAATACTCGGAATTTGACTTAACTGTATCTGTAACTACTTTTCCTTACGCAAAGCATCGTTCTATTTTTATTAAAGTAAATAGTAAAAATTATAGTACTATATTTTATTGTAGTAATGCTTTATCCCTAACCAAAGTTCATCAGACGAGAACGATTTAGAATTCTTTATTGAACCCGACGACCGATAAAACCCTATTGAGGAACTTGTTTACTAGCACCTGCGCTAAGCAAACATTTATCTCGGCCAATCCGTAAACACGGCGCTGGCTCTGTCCGTTTGTATTATCTATCCGGCACATCCAACAGATCACCTAGCGACAGGGGCGGTGGAAGCGAACCATAAGTTATGAACTGAACGGTTTTGTCAAAGCTCTCGTATTTCAAACCACCGTCTAGTTTCATCTGCCTTGAAAAGTCATCTTCCAGCCTTCTGTGGCGATGCATTACAGGTTCTGGATAGTACGTTCTTTCACGCACTTCAATGTCTAAATATTTTTCAAGCGATAGAAGTTCTTGCCGTTCTTTTTCAAGCATTTCTAGTATTTCATCCATCTCGGCCAAAAGCTGTAGCTCTTCACTAGATAATGACGAATCTTCCATAAACGATTTTATATCGGAGCTTGTAAAGCTTTTAATGTCTGTTTGCAGGATTTGTTCTAATTCTGACACACGTCTGCTGAGAATAACCCTACCAATTTGTAGTCGTTCGTGTTGTCGCTTTATTTCCGAAAGTTCCTTAAGGAATATATCATGCATTTCGTCCATCTTAGAATCGAAACCTTCCATTTCTTCTTTATTGGAGAATTTAACTCCATGAGAAACAAGCTGACAATCAATCACATCGTCAGTTTTTCGTTCCGCGCCCAAAAATTCCCTCCTTGCACCTTTCAGCTCCACTTGTCGGTCGTTAATAGCATTTTTTGTTTTCTGCGATTTGCAAGAGTTCAACTTCTCTTCTTTCTGAACCCACAAACCGTTGAATAAAAGTAACCAAAACTGCTTGAATCTATAGCAAAGAGACATATCGTAGAGTCCTAACCTCTCGTGTCGCTTGCACAGGAAGTGTCATAGTAGCAAAAAGAGTTTATATTCAAGCTGTACTTCTTTAGGATGTTCTTGCCAGGCGGGCTTCGTAAGGCAGCGCGTCTTCTCGTGCATCTGTCCTTTCTTCTTGCTCTTAGGGTGGTAGAACCCCCGAATAGGCTAAAACATTCCTCTTTTCCCAAGGTCGACCTCCTAAAGTTAGGAGAGTCGCCTTAAAACGCAAACAAAAATACCCGTCAAACCACTTCTCTTGTCTTCCACCCACGCGTCGCAGACAGAACAGGTGATTCGGTGGTTTTTCCCTGTGAGCGTCGCCTGTGATGAGCTGTGTTGGTTTACTAAACTAGCCAATCAAATTACAGGATATCACTCAGGTACCTGTTAATTCTACGCTCATTATCTTTATAAACATATGACTTGAAATTCTCAGTTCTACAGTTCCCAACGACGATATTAAAACAAAGCCAAAATTTTTACTACAAGTATCATTATAAAAAAAATTCTAGTTTTGCCATAAAAGCAAAAGAGCCGACGAAGATTGTTTTTTTCCCGTAACGCCCTTAAATATTGTTTCTCGCTGTCTGGAATGGGAGACATTTTATATCTAAACGCCAAGGAAAGGGGTTCTTTGTTTTAAATAAAGCTTGTTAAATCGACTATCCTATCATGAAAAGTGTTCTGTTGTCAAGAATACTTAGACGTGTAATATTCTTAGGACTCTATGATCTAGTCATAGAAAACTCATAGTGGAAAGGGTAACGCCCATTTAACAAGGTGTGTCACTTTCACTGGAATTATAGGATTGACATCTCCATGATTGCGATGTTCACTTCTTAGCCCCCTTCAAGTGGTGAATAGACAGGAAAAGGAGGATACAAGGAAACCAGGATTTTAGAATGAGTAAAAAGATAAAAAGTGAGATTCGATGATAATAAATTCGAATTTGAAACTCCGCGTAAAAGCTCTGTAAAGTGTTCTTGACTTTAATTATATTCCTTTCCTTTAGTTCGTCCTATTGGTGTACAACTGGAAACACCAATGACCTGATCTTTTCATTGTCATGTGCTGATACCGTTACCGTCTGATCTTGTCGCTTGCTGGTTCTAAAGCCTGAGTGAATGGTAATAGCGGGTTACTGATGGCAGCGAGGGTCAGTAGTGTGTTATGCTAAAATTACTGACTACCGAGAATTCAAAGTCTTCTCCATCTTTTTAAACGCCTTGTAGCTCAGTATATACCATAAACAGGCATAACTTTTGCTTTCAGCAATCTTATAAGTTGTGAGCTGTTTGCAATACAGTTTCCTTGAGGAACTGAAAATCTCTTTTTTTCAGTTTTTCTCATGCCAAAGTGGTAACAAGCTTCTTATGGAGTTCGGCTGATATTATTTCGACCTTTTCATCAAACATTTCACCAACATAGCATTGTCTATGCTGTCCACCCAACATTATGATAACAAATATCAATCTCTTAAACAACCCAAGAACTCCTCCTCTTCGAGCAAAACCCATTTGCTGGAGGGTCTCTGGTTATCGACTATTCTGAGCCTGTAATCTTTTACCTCAGCGGCTCTTCGGAGTTTGTAACTGATCGAATTTGGAACAAATGATCCATGAGACCTACACCTGTTGTTTTTCATTAAATCATTTTCATAACCTGCTCTTAGATTCAATAGCGCTTTGAATCACGTTCGTACAACGATTGCCTGAGCCAAGTACAAGGCTCAGTTTAATTTTAGTTGATTTCTACAGAGTTTAATAAGAAGGAAAGAAGTGCATGACCAGGCATCTCAGTAACCATGGCGGACTAAGGATTTACTTGACGGGAGATGTTTTTCAAATTGTTTATCTGACAAATGGTATCCCGTGATCGTTGAAGACAAACAAGACAGATATCTAAACAAACTATTAGTTGTTGAAGAAATTATCGCATCTCACGCCACACAGAAATTAAACGAGATGCGGTATCCGTGAGCAGGGCTTTGAAAGGAAAACCACATCACTTGTTAATCTTATCAAGATTTTGAAACTATAGATTTACACCCAGGTCAGCAACTTCTATTAAGATACTCTTCTGGACGGGAGATATTTATTTTTAAAGTCAACAATTCGCCCAGGTGGGAGCTCAATTCCTCCACAAAGAAGCTCTTGAATGAAATTAACTTCTATTTGAAATTTTCAAATTGATCCACTTGCTTAGGAGACACGTGGTAAACAAGTAACTGGTATTACAAGGTGCTCGGGTGCAGTGGTGGCTGTTACATGGTGAAAAGAAAATGAAAGAAAACAGCAAGGAAACGGAAATTACGTTAGAGAAAAGTGCAGACTTTCCAGACTCTCCAGACACCAAACCGGGTGAAGACAAACTTGTCTCGTCATTTGCAACTTTTTGGAACATTTGCAACACGATTCAAGGTTTACCAATCTTGGTCATACCTTACGCCGTTAGAAATGGTGGCTACTTAGCAATACTTACTCTTTTGTTAGTCGCCGCTACCTCTAATTACACTGGAAAAACAATTGTTCGGTGCCTTTATGAAATAGATCTAAAGAGCGGTAAACGAAAAAGGGTTCGCAATTCCTACGCAGATGTCGGCGACGCTTTTTTGCCGAACTTAGGAGGTCATCTTGTCCTTGCTACTCAGTTTATAGAGTTGCTGTTTGTAGCTTCATTTTATCCTCTATTAGTTGGACGATTACTGGCCAAATCGTTTCTCCATGTTGCTGTTCCTTGCTGGCTCTGGACACTCATTGGCGGTATAATTTTCGTTCCAAATATTTTTCTCAAAAACCTTTCCCAAGTGGCATGGACCAGCATCTTGACGGTACTTTCTGCCAAAATTGTCTTCATTACAGTGTTTGCGTACAGCTTATTTCGGTTTCACAAATGGGAGCTAAATTCTTTAACACATTTTGACGCCAGTACATTTCCTTCAGCTTTAGGAATCCTTGTGGCGAGTTATCTGTCGCAGCCCTTTGTATCACTCATCGAAGGCAGCATGCGCTACAAAGACAAATTCAATTTGTTGATGAACGTTGCTTACGGAGTAATGACATTGCTCAATGTTATCATTGGAGTAGTTGCTTACATCTCATTTCATCCCAACACAGCTGAAGTCATAACAAACAACCTACCAGAAGGTTCATTCCGTCGAGCAGTAAATGTAATGGCAGCTGTGTTGTCTTTCACGTCTTATACATTACCAATGTTTACTCTATTTAACATTGTTGAAAAATCTAACCTTCCATGTTTACCAGAGGATCTCGATAAATCCATTTTGAAGCCATCCGTTATCTTCCTTCGTTTGTCAATGGTATCTACGAGTGTAATTTTCGCTGCTACTTTTCCTGCCTACACCTATTTATTAGCATTTGTCGGAAGTATTGCTGGCATCAGTTTGGAGTTCATATTCCCACCTTTGTTTCACCTAAAGATGTACTGCCATGACATGACATGGGGTAACATTATTTTAGACGCAGTTGTTCTTGTTGTGGGTATTTCTGTGTCAGTGACCGGAGCGTTCTTTTCTGGGCGTTCAATGATTAGTACTTACAGTCAACCAATAATAGATCACTGCTTGTGACACTTGGATCCTGGCCTCTCGATAACCCAAGATAAGTTTAAATCAATAACAGTAATGCTGGGGGGAGGGGGGGACGTATGAAAGAGGCACTTAAAACAAAACATTTCATCTCCTCTTGTGGATCCAAAGGAAAAACTATACTGGCATGTTTGTGTCCATTCGTAGTTCCTTAGTTTCGTAATTAAATAGTTTCTAGTTACATGTATCACTTTTGATTTGGGATTTGTTCCAGTGATTTTTTTTTTCCAACAAATGGTGCGTTTTTGCAAGAAGAGATTTTTCGAAACAACGAAATTTGATAATTATCCAAATTAATAAATTTAAATTCAAAGAAATAAAGGATTTGCAAGTCGCTGGGTTGTTGTTCTACAAGCTCTCCTCAAAACCGCTGAGATCAGCGTCAATTGCTAACCAAAGATTCCCTACAGACAAAAGATTGACATCTCTGATAGAAACAAACATAATTTTCTGAATGCGTCAATCAGAAGCTTTAGATAGCTTTTCCACTCAAAGAAGCGTCAAAAGAAGACTTGAGCCGAATTGAGACCGTGAATTTCTGTCTTCTTCAAAGCGTCACAAAATCTGCTACTATGATTATGATTTAGGGAAATAGCGTACTTTCAAACAAGTAATTGCTCCAAGGAAAGCTTCTGCTATAAACCTGCACTAACTCTCTTTTCACCACTGCTCGATAAATACTCATGAATTCAGGTATCTAAATCACGATACCCGAAGCTGCGTCCCCAGCTGAAGCAAAGCCGAGAAGGGAGGGTTCGAGACCTGTCGGAGATGCTTCTCTTTTTCTCATTATATAGCTCAGAAATAAATTTGCATGGAACTTTTAAAATTTCTTCTCAAGTAAAAATGGAGGAGCATTAAACTATTAGTTTTAAGTCTCTGATAAGTTTCTCAATTCTTTTTATGAGGTTTTGGGATGGGAGTTGGTCCACCTGAAGCGTACTCGGACAGCTCGGTGTCTAGTATACACCTTTCCGCAGAACATAAGCGCATTGTTGAAGATGCTGCTATTTTTTTCATTTGCCAGAATATATGAATGCGTGATATTAGGAATGCATTCAGTATGCAGCTCTTGCCAAATACTGAAGGTACATAACCACTTACTTATAACTAACTTACTTTGATATAGTTTTCTTCCTGCTTTGAGGCGGTTTTTTTTATCATTTTATCATATGTGGCAGATTAAACTAAACATTTAAAAAAAAGTTAGAGATCTCTCACCTCCGACGGGACTCGAACCCGCAATCTTCGGCTACGCTCCGTTCTCAGGTAGACACCCGTGATTTAGGAGGCCGACGCGTTATCCATTACGCTACAGAGGCCACTGAATAGCTATAGATTTCAAAATATTATTTGAAAGCCAGTAGTGCATTTTATTTTTGGAAAAGTTATTTCTGGTTAGTAATTGGCTCATTATCATTTGTTATGATATTAATCCGCTGGTGCTATAAGAGTACCCGCTCAACGAACTATTACAAAACATTGGTGCGATCTCTTAGCTGCTGAGGGCCAGAAATTGCCTTTGCCATTTTATTTCAACACACCTGCCTATCATACATTTTCGTAAACTGGTTCCTCCAGTGGCCTCATTCACACTTTTCTTCCATGCAGAGCAGGTGATAAGTCTCCAGCTGCCAAAGATGTGTTCTTTTGTTGCAAATTCCTCGTGTATAAATCTGTGTTCTTGTATACAGACGATGTCATGTTTTGTAGAATCAGCTGAGGCGATTAGTTCAGGTATCTTTCCTTCTTTCTGGAGTGTTTGGACATTGAAGGCCGCAATGAAGATGTCTTTCTTTCCCTTCATCAGTCTGGAATTGATTTTTTTTGTTTGGATCGCTTTGGTTTCAGCAGTTGATTTTTCGACTGCAACCTGAAACGTCATTGCAGAACACGCTCCATGGTTGACCGCGCAACGAGCGATGCGGGATGAACGTCTTGGGTTTTGTGTCATTTCATACTTTCAAAGGCTGGATTGACAATTGTGGTCGCTACTCCATACAAGTGTGAGCAATACTCTGTATCAGAGCGTTTGTGCTAAGCCGAAACAATCAACATTGGTTGTAGTGAATTGCCTCGCCACAAGTAGCTTGAACCAACTTTTCAATATCTCGATCATTGCTTCATCTACTATCCAACATCCTGCCTCCCGATGTTTTCACCTTTATCACGGGTAGGGTGGCTGACATGTGTTTCACCTTGCCAAAGGGCGACCTGTGATTTTGTCCGGCACCGCTTATTGGTTATTCGCAGCTAACCTCTATATCTAGAGGCTGTTCCCCTATCTGCAACCTGGGAAGCCGGTGGATGGAAGTTCGCATCTCCACACCACTAACGCAGGTGTTTGATTCCTCTAAAAAGGTACTTAATTAACACAGGCGAGAAGAAAAGTGGAAGAAAACTAATTATTTACGTACACAACCTGTCAAAATCAATGGCATCCTAATTGCAGAAGTTATGAATGAAAGGACAAGTTTTGCATTGTGCTCGAGGGCATTCAAACTACTCAACTAGTAGTGAAAATAAGCCTCCCAGTTGGCTTGTTAGCTCAGTTGATAGAGCACTGCACCGGTATCGCAGAGGTCATGGGTTTAACTCCCGTAAGGGCTTGAATTTTTTCAGGCATTATTTTCGCTACTAGTTGAGTAGTATTCATAACTGCGAGGATCGTTTTCATTCGAATCGTGAAACTTATCACATCAGTTTCCTGAATCTACGTTTCCAGCTGAAGCAAACCCGAAGAGTCCTTCGGGTTCGAGTCCTGTCAGAGATGCTCCTCTTTTCTTCCATTATATTGTTGAGAAATAAATTTGCATTGAATTTTTAAATTTTTTTTCCAAGTAAAATGGAGGAGTATTCAACTATTAATTACAAGTCTCTGATAAGTTTTTCGATTCTTTTTATGAGGTTTTGGGATGGGAGTTGGTCTGCCTGAAGCGAACTAGGACAGCTCGGTGTCTAGTAAACACCTTTCCGCAGAACAAGTACATTATTATTAGCGCACTATTGAAGATGCTCCTATTTTTTCATTTGCCAGAATATATGAATGCATGATACTAGGAATGTATTCAGTATGTGGCCTTCGCAATAAAATGAATGTATATAACCAGCAGATAAAGATAGGCAAGAGGTGATTACAGACCACTTCTTTATAACTCCTAAGAGAAAAGTTAAAAAGACTAACTCGAATGTGAAGGTGTGACTGGAGCCAGAAAACAGAAAGCGTCCATTGCCAACCACTTTTTAAGGTACTCAATCCATACGAAGTCGTGGTTCCAATTTTAGCCCAGTTTTCTCTACTATGATATCGTTTTCTTCCTGCTTTGAGATGATAGTTCTTTATCATCCTATCAAATATGGCAACTTATCCTAAAAATTTTAAAAAAAGTAAGAAGCTGCACCTCCGACGGGACTCGAACCCGCAATCTTCGGCTACGCTCTGTTCACAAGTGGACACCCGTGATTTAGGAGGCCGACGCGTTATCCATTACGCTACAGAGGCCACTTAATAACAGAAGTAAAGATTTTAAAATATTATTTGAAAGTCAGTAGTGGGTTTTATTTTTTAAACAGTCATTTCTGGTTAGTAATTGGCTCATTATCATTTGTTATGATATTAATCTGCTGGTGCTGCAATAGTACCCGCTCAGGTCGTGAGTTCAACCCTCGCAAGGACCGAAAAACTCTTCCTTTTTTTCTTCACCTAGAAATGCTTTTAAAATTTTTTTTTCTTGTATCCTGTAAAATTCCATTACAAAGTACTTCATATTCTCTTCCTGCATAAATAAATAGTCACAAAAAAGTCCGCAGGTGTTTGATTCCACCAACAAGGTGCTGAATTAACACAGGCGAGAAGAAAAGTGGAGAAAACTAATTATTAACGTACACAATCTGTCAAAATCAATGACATCCTAATTTCAGAAGTTATGAATGAAAGTAAAAGTTTTACATTGTGCGCGAGGGTATTGGAAAGTGCCAGGTTGGTCATTAGTTTGTAATGAACTTCTAAACAAAAGAGTGCCTATTTTTTTTTCGGGTTTAAATGAAATAAGTTGAGGTTGCGAAAAGACAATACCAGTCTCTGAATATCTTTTAGGTAATTCAGAGTTTCTGAGTGGAGGGTAAGTTCTTTATGACGTGTAGCAGTTATCGAGAGAAAGATAACACCATTACTTTTCTCGACGCAGAAATTACAGGGAATTCAGATGGTCTTCTCACTACCACTGTCTACAGAAAGCCTACCCACACCACCCTCAGTCAGTAAAGCGTGGTATTGTTGAGTGTCTATACGACCGAGGCAAACACTTCACCACAAAACCGTCAGTTATGCCTGAGGAAAGAAACACTTGTCATCAGTACTTGGTTATCCTTCTTCATTTGTACGAAAACCCGCAAAGACAACAAGGGTAACAGCCAACAAAGAATCCGCGTAGGAATTTTAATCTACTGCCGTTCTCCCTTACGTAAAAGGTGTATCAGAGGTTCTTTGCCGCTGCCTACAACGTCAAGGCATACCAATCGTTTTCAAGCCGGACACAACACTTAGGTCTCACTCAGTACGACCTAAAGACGCCCTAGAACCATCAAAACAAGACGGTGTCGTTTACAAGATCCCATGTGAATGCGGCAAAGTGTATATCGGTAAAACTGGGAGATCAATGCGAGAAAGGATAAAAGAACACGACAGAGACATACCGTTTGCTCGTACTCTGACCTCCGCGGTTTCGGAGCACGCGAACGAAACGGGGCATATTCCTATTTGGAGCAAGGTTTAGTTTATTGATCGTGACACTCGCTGGTACACACGTAGGGTCAAAGAGGCTATCCATGTAAAAAAACAACAGCACGAACAATGACTTAGTTGCTCAACTCCGCCCTGACATGTTAATGAACAAAAGCAGAATTTTCTTTGGACGAAGGGGAACAATGTACACTAATATTGCTGAACTACAATTTTTTCGCTACTGCAAGTAAATGTTGCG